TAAGCTCATGAAATTGGAATCCAGAAGCAATAATTAGCTTACTACTTTAATTTATTGTAGAGGAGTAGTTCCAATCAATTAAGATTTTACCTTTGGAAGTGGATTATGGATGCATGTACAATAGATAAATACTCAGAAAAGGTGATTGTACTGGGCCATCATCCTATTTCAAATCTAGTATTATACAATAACTTACTATTTACACACTGACCTGTATGCTAAGCATTTTGTTTATACCTTTTAATTTCCTAAGCTATCCAGTGAGGTTTGCTATTCTCTTTTAACAGTAGAGGAGACTGAAGTTTAGAGAGGTTAAGTGACTTGCCCAAGGTCCCAGAATTGGGCATGCAAAACTCTATTCTTAAATGTAATTGTAGAATTTATATTTCCTGTTTTGTGGTTGTATATTTTCGATCATTAAGAACTCAGGAAAGATAATGGAAGAAAATAAAACATGCCTCTTATTCTTGAAATGAATGCTCTCATCTTCCTACCACCTTCAACTTTTTGGATTCATAGACGTGTTATACAGTGTATTACAAATAAGTAGTACAGATGAATGGTAGAAAGTTTAATTTGGAATAGCATTATGCTTTAATAAAATCTTATTTATCCTAAATATATTTACTTAATGTTTCCAGCCATCTCTAGTTCACCCAAAAAACAAGTATGTTTCCAGGAAGCATTTATTCATAAAGGAGCCTCTCAGACTCAGATTTCATTTACTCCTATTTCAACAGGCACTGGGGTTTCCTAGCTATGACAATTGATTAGAAGCAACAAATCTAGGACAATACCAAGCAGCGCTGTTACAGATAGAAGGGCTGACTTTTGGTATAAAGGTCTTAGTGGTAAAGAAAAAGCAAACCTAAAAGACAATTTTAAGAGTTGTTTTGCAATCCTTATCTTTAGTGCACTCCAAGAGTAGTACTCATGATCATCAGCCGATTAAATCACAGTACTGTAATTGATCAGAATGATAATCCTGAGTATTTCTTTTGAAAGTAAATTATGCTAGACAGACTCTAATGAGATGGGTTTTCATTTACAAAAGAAGGCAAATTATGCTGGATAAATGCATGAAGCAGTATCATACTCAGTTGGGTACAATATGTCCTTATCTTTTAACTTTACAAAGGGCTCCTTTAAAGAAGTTTTGCTATTGTTGAAGTTCACAGTTTGGCCTATCAGTGCTGTAGATGACTCAAAAGTGTATCTATGTGACTGGGGAGAAGAAAACCCCTACATCTCCTTGCTGCTGGATTTTGCAATTAGCTTGCAGAACCGATTCTCCTCAGACTGTGGGGATTGCTCTGTACATCCTATAAATTATTTACGCCCTGATGGTACTAAATGACTACATTAATGGCACCTCTGGCTCCACATGATATCAAGAACCTTAATAATTCATCATTTATTACAGATACATCCCTGTAGGTTAACATGAGTGGGAGCTGAGTTTACAACACTGAGATAAGGCCTTCTCTGAAACTTTTACTTTCCAAACATTATATCCGTAAATATTTAGTCGTATTTAAAAAATAAGGGAAAGACTATTGACTCTTACACAGCTTTAGACTCTTTAGGGGATTAAAAAAAAAATATATATATATATATATATATTATTGATTTCAGAGAGGAAGGGAGAAGGGGGGGGGAGAGAGAGAGAGAGAGAGAGAGAGAGAGAGAGAGAAAGAGAAACAGAAACATCAATGATGAGAGAGAATCATTGATTGGCTGCCTTCTGCACGCCCCCTACCAGAGATCGAGCCTGTAGTCCGCGTATGTGCCCTCGACCAGAATCGAACCTGGGACCCGTCAGTCTGCAGGCTGACGCTCTATCCACTGAGCAAAACCGGCTAGGGCTCTTTAGGTGATGTTTTTCAAGCATAGATTACTTCAAGTTTTTTAGTATATTTTAAGGATATGTCAGAGGGGAAAAAATCTTTGAAAGACAGTTTTCCATTTCAGGACTCTTGCTTTAAAAACAAACAGGCAAACTAGCATTAAATTATCCAAAGTAAATGGAATTAATGATTGGCCACTGGGAAGAAAAGTGAGAGACTTTTAAAAAATTACCTAAATTCTTTTCTCTCTTTATTTTTTTCAAAATTATCCAAATTCTTAATCTAAGAGTTTTATATCTGATATTTGAAGTCTTTGAATCTGTCTTCTTCAGCCTTTTGGGAGTACTTTTAAAAAAAGAAATAGGACCCAGTGCACCAAGGTTGCAGGTTTGATCTCTTTCTGGTCAGGGCATATTCAAGAAGCAACCAATGAATGCATAAATAAGTGGAACAACAGATTGATGTTTCTCTCTTTCTCTCTCTCCCCCTCCTCCCCTTCCCTCTCTCACCCACTTCTCCCTCTCACTTCTCTCAAATCAATCAGTAAATAAAATTTATTCAAAAAATAGAAAGAAAAAGAAATAGGAAAGGCATGCCATAGAGAGCAGGAGTGTGTTTGTATACTCATATATGCACATGTCATATAATTAAATTCCAGGGTGAAATTTAGCTATAAAAGAAAGTTAATCACGTTTCCAGTGAAGGGTAATAGTGGAGTTGATGTTGAATTTATGTTTACAGTTTGGAGTGACAACACTTCTTAGTACTATAAATATTGCTTTCAAAAAAGCCATAAAGGTTAGTAACATTGGCAGTGTTTGTAATCCTAGCACTTAGCACAGTGCCTGGCACATGGGTCAGTACAAGTTTGCATAAATACGTGATGCTGAAATCACCCCATATAATTCTAGTTAGAAATCTGGTGTTTTGATAAGTTAAACAGCGACACCGATTTATACTAGTTGCTTTCTACGATAATACTACTTTGGGAGTATATTCCTGTTCACTTTTAGTGTTTTTTTAATTTATGTAATGTGGATTCGTTGCAGAAGGGTCCAGAGAACCTCATTATATGGGGTTCTGACCTATGAAGCATATATTTTTAAGACAACATTGTTCTGTAGAGAGGCTCCAAAGTGTTTCAGGTATCCTTTGGGTTCCATTGACATGCCTTAGGAGTTCATTAAAGATACTGAGAAAATTGCTTTTCCCCCAGTAGAGACACTGGCCGGTTTTTGCTGATACTAAATTCAAAGTGGTTTATACCATGTTGAGTTTACCAACTTTATACCAAGTTGAGTTTTAATTTGATTGCTTTCTATTTCTGTAATAATGGTTTTCTTTAAAACTGATTATTTAGTCATCCTTGACGTCCAGATGTCAGTGATGGGTACAGTCAAGAGTTACACTGACAGGGAGATTAGAGTTTAGAAAGGCATTAGAAGCACTGTCATTAAAATGACAGCCCTTAATCTGTAAAAGAAAAAAAATTAAATTTCAGCAAGCATGTGATGTAAAATTAAGTCATAGTATGCTAGTCTTCTATACAGATAATATTAGTTCTGTTTACCAAACCAGCCACCTTGTAGCAGAATATGGAATATCTAACTTAAATTAGAACAGTTGTATTTCTCCTTCAGTTGAAACATTGTAATAAACATCTTTCAATTGTATGAAATTATGTGTTTGTTGTTTAGTAGCAAATATGATTTGGATCAAGTTTCTGAATATAAGATTTTTATGTGGGACGAATTCATATATTTTTCCCTTATATTTCTCAACACTCTTCTCCATTCATGAGTGGTTTTCAGCTGATACCCAGTGCCAGATATCTTGGAATAAAGGTTTTAGAACAGTTGTGGAAAAGTGATGGTTTGATCTAGTCTTAGTTATGTTATGGTGTAAGTTAAGCTCTTAAATGAAGGTGACTGGTTTTATAGATGGGCAGACATGAATCTAGCGGAGAACAAATTATTCCGTGATAAAGACATTGTTCAAACCTGCATGCATCTGTCAACTGCCTGGGTGGCAGAGCGAGATAAAGTGATCTGTAATGTTTCTCTGGTGTGCCGCTATTACTAGCCATATTGTAATATGTAATGAATCTCTTGGGCAGACAGCTTGTGTGGGCTGGATTCCACCTCAGTCTTGTAAAGATGCCTGGAAGCATCAAGGCGAATTTTTTAAAGCCTATTTAAATATTTAGACTAATGGCTAATTTTAGTGAAATCTCTGCTATATTTAATAAACTATTTGCTAGAAGTGAGATTTCAAGTTTATGCCTTCCTCACTTATCTGCTATGTGACCTTGGATTGACAAATTATTAATCTCTGCCCATTCTGTACCAGGAAGGGAAGATTATAAGAGTATTTGCCTCATAAAGTTGTGTGGAATTAGGCAGTTCATACGTATAAAGTGTATGGAAGAGTGAGTGTCTGGCACTTAAACATTAGCTGCCGCCACTGCCATCATCATCTACATATTTGGGAGTGAGATAAATTTACCTTCCCTGAAGCTAGATTGTTTTTTTGTTGTTTTTTTTTTAAAGGAAGACCACATCTCTATCAAGGATGTGGTCAACCCCAATTCTAATATAGAAGCTCACTGTCTTGACTTGTGAAATCTACAAGTTTATCTTCAGCTAAAGTGTGATATAGTATAGTACAGTGTTATATATTATACTATATATTATGTAAATATTACTTTAAAAAGTACATATTACTTTATATTATATTACTTTAAAAAGTATTTATTTCAAAAGTAAAGTATAGTATAATAAAGTATACTATCACTAAAATGGATGAAGAAATTTATAACATTCTGTGAAGTGATCTACAAAATGTATTGTTAAGAGAAAAGAGCAAGGGCAAAGTAGGGTACAAATTATTCTACCACTTACGTAAAAATTTTCTGGTACATGCATAAACGTCCGTCAGGTTACACAGAAATGTGATATTTTCATTTGTTGATGTGGGTGAGCGAAATTGGATGGCTGGAGACAAGGTAAATTTTTATTCATCCTTTATAAACATTCTTTTTGTCTTTCCTACTCAAATTTACATTTGATAGGGCTTTTAGATTCCTATTTTAGTTTTTTTCTTTAAGTCTGCTTTCCAACACTAACTTAAGAATATTTTTTTGTCCTCTATTAGGGATTTGAGTCATAATCGGTTGTCTAACTGGAACATCAGCTTGGAATCTCAGACATTACAAGAAGTGTAAGTTATTTTACTTAAATTTACATTAAATTCGAGGTGATTTAGAAATGCTGTCAAAAATTTGAAGGAAAAACATTTACATTAAAAGACATTGTTTAAAAATATAAACTGACATCTTTAGCTTTATTGTCACAAACTCTCGGCATTGCCATTGGGTTGGGTAGGGATCACCAACCCTAAATTGCAAACTGTAGAAACAGTCTTCCTTGGGCCCAAAGTAAGATTTTTCCTCTTTTGAGAGTAAATATGCTGGGTTTGTTTTTTGCCATTAAAACTCTCTGTTGTATAAACTCTTTTTTATGTCTTTTTTGTCTTGTTTTGTTTTAATAGTTTATTGATTTTTAGAGAGAGGGGAAGGGAGAGAGAGAAACATCAATGTGAGAGCGGAACATTGATCGGCTGCCCCCTGCACGCACCCTACTGAGGATTGAGCCCTGACTTGGAATCGAACCAGCAACCTTTCGGTGCATGGGATCACGCGCTATCATGAGCCACACCGACCAGGGCTTTTTTTTTTTTATGTCTTGACTCATCTAAAATGGGAGCATCATGTCTAAAGTAGATTTACATGAAATATACTGTTGGTATCATTTGGAATGTGATGGTTAATAATTCAACTTTCCACTTTACTGAAGTGCTTCCTTTAATACTGAGATGTATTATTATGTATTCTTTGGAGGAAATTTTCTAAAATAGGTATTATTAATATCAGTTATTGCATTGTAATGTTCCCAGAGGCACAAGTATCGAGCCTATTGTACCTTTCTTTAAACACCCCTAGAACCCTCAGATTTATTTTCTTTTTAGTTTCCTGCTGACAGGGTAAGTCGTGCACTCATTGTTCCTGCGTTCTCTCCTTGCCTGTCTCGAGGTGACTGCTTCTGTTCTGCTGCAGAGTGAATAGGCTTATTAGCTGAGAGCAGCACTGAGGAAAGATGTGAAAATGCTTCAGTAGGAAGTGCATGAGCTTTCATTACATGGGCTTTGTAACTTCAGTGGGTTCTTTGGAGGCCTTTTACTTCAGGTTTTTTCCTGTATTTTTTATTGTTGAGGTTGTTCATTGATTGAAAACTGGTTAATGGAGTGTGATTATATTAGATTTGCTACAAAAACATTTGATACGATCTGTTCTAAAGAGCTGCTGGGATCAGATGGTGACATGTCATGCCATCTGTAAAATTTAATCACAGTCTCTCTCTCTCTGGGTTGGTTAATTTCATCTTTCTCAAGCAATTCTCCCTACTTAGAATAACTTTAAAATATATATGTATTTTTTCATATATGTGCATGTGTTTGTATTTTTAAAATTTATAATTCCATTATAAATACATAAAATGGATATGGCTGTGTTAATTATTCTTTCTTTGTTTAAGAAGGACCCAGATCAACTGTCATAAACATAACTATTCAAAGACTCTTGGTGGGATTAAAAATATTTAATGTGCAAAATATTTCCTAACCTTTTAAATACTGAGATCAATCATAGATGTATACCATGAAAAAGCATTTCTTATTAAAACCTCTAATTTCTCAGTATAAGACATTTAGTCTAACTCATTCTGAGTCATACAGGCTTCTTTCAGACGTGGCACCCGTCCTAAAGAATATGTATTAGGCCAGCGGTTCTCAACCTGTGGGTCGCGACCCCTTTGGGAGTCAAACGACCCTTTCACAGGGGTTGCCTAAGACCATCGGAAAACACATATATAATTACATATTGTTTTTGTGATTAATCACTATGCTTTAATTATGTTCAATTTGTAACAATGAAATTGGGGGTCACCACAATATGAGGAACTGTATTTGTGACATTAGGAAGGTTGAGAACCTCTGTATTAGGCAGTAAACCAGAACTGAAGACAACATTTCTCTCACTAAACTTTGAAATCTTATTTTCCTTCTGACTAGGAAAATGAATTATAATGAACTAACAGAAATCCCATATTTTGGAGAACCAACCTCCAATATTACTGCATTGTCATTGTAAGTAAATAAGATTTCAGATCTTTTACTTAAATTATAAATAGTACACAGATTTTTTTGTTTGTTGGTTTTTTTTGTTGTTGTAAGTACCCTTATTGTTGATCCCAATTATTTAACATTCTTGTGGCCTTGGGTGGATCACTGGCAGTAGCTTCAATATATTCTTTGTTTTGTAGAGTCCATAATATAATCGCAGAAATAAATGCAGAGGACTTCCAGTTTTACCCTGCTCTCGAGAGTTTAGATCTCAGTTCAAACATAATATCAGAAATCAAGACAGCTTCATTTCCTCGAATGCAGCTTAAATACCTGTAAGTGAAATAGAGTTTAAACTGGATTTACTTTAAAGTGCATTTCTGTTACTGTGATTATGATACGCTTACGTGAATCAAACCTACGGTCAGTTTTTTGGGGTTAGGGGGAATGTTGTTTTTTTTCCTCTCTCCCCTTAAAGAAAGAGTGCATTATTTTCAGAAAATATTGGTAAGTATCCAGGATAATTTTAAATTCTGGATTGTGTTTATTAACAGCTTTGTAAAAGATAGCTAGGAGTAGTTTGTTAAACAGCAGCTTAACCTATGTAATGATGATGATAATTAGCATGTGCATTAGTGTTTTACAGTTTACAAGCATATTCACACAGACTGTTTTAATCCAAATGAAGTAGTTATTATCCTTATTTTGCAGTTGAAGAAACAGAGCAGTTAAATGATTTGTAAAGTTGTGCTCAGCTGCCTAGTGGTAGAGCTGGGGCTCAGTCATAGACTTTGGGCAGCTTTCCTCTGGTAGAATTTTTGTTCCACTAATTTTTTGTTAATCATTTTTCATTTTAGGAATTTGAGTAATAATAGGATAACCATTTTGGAGGCTGGTTGCTTTGATAATTTATCGAGTTCCTTATTAGTGGTAAAGTTAAACCGTAACAGAATTAGCATGATTCCACCCAAGATCTTCAAGCTACCTCACCTCCAATTCTTGTGAGTAACTAAATAGATTATGAGATCATTTTTTCTTACAGTGTCTTTTCCTTTTTAATTATTATTTAGAACAAATCAGCAAACCAGTCTTGTAATTGTAAAACTGTTTTTGTTAAAGGGAGCTTAAAAGAAACCGGATTAAAGTTGTGGAAGGTCTAACATTCCAAGGTCTGGATTCCTTAAAGTCTTTAAAAATGCAGCGGAATGGAATTAGCAAACTTAAGGATGGCGCTTTTTTTGGCTTGGATAACATGGAAGAATTGTAAGTACTATGAACTAGCATAGGAGATTGTTAGGAATGGGGTCTGACTGGGACTTTTTAGTGTCAAACAGCTAGGATAGCTGCGATAGTTATACTTAGGTACATTAGTTCTTTTTCCCTTCTCTGATGTGAAATAAGTATACACAAAGCTCTGTAAGTTTTATTAAATAACTGGCATTTTGCCATCATTCTCATAAACATTTTCTCTAAATAGTTCATGTTCCTTTACTGTTTTGGCTGATGAAATTCATTAGAATTTACCCAGAATAGGTATACTATACCTCTTGGTGTCTTGATTTTATAGATCTGATATTTTAGACAGTCTTATTACCTTCTAGCACTAAATCTTAAGTAAGATCTAAATATTAATTGAATAGAACTCGTTGGCTCACTTGGGTTGAAGAAAGGTATATGTTTCTTTGAGTAAGACTTAATGAGTTTTGGAATCTTCCTATTGCATTGCTTGTTATGAAACATACTTTCTCCTTTATTTCTCTAATTCTGCAGAGAACTGGAGCATAATAACCTTACAGAAGTGAACAAGGGGTGGTTGTATGGCTTGCGAATGTTACAACAGCTCTATGTGAATCAGAATGCTGTTGAAAGGATCAGCCCTGATGCATGGGAGTTCTGCCAAAGACTGTCTGAACTGTAAGTGTTGGTTGGCATTTCAGCGGAGTCTCTGAGGCTAGAGCAGGTTGGAATAAATCATTCCCACGGCCAGTAATAAAATCTGACATCCCTCTTTATTAGAAGTTTGTTGAAAGCTCTAAATTTATCATGTAAATAGAATTAGCCTATGAAAGTTGAATTAAAATAGAGTGAATTCCTTACCTTTCATGTGTCCTGTTTTCAGTGATTTGTCCTATAACCAGTTGGCCCGCCTGGATGAATCTGCCTTTGTGGGTCTGAGCTTACTGGAGAGATTGAATTTAGGGGACAACAGAGTCACTCACATTGCCGATGGTGTATTTAGGTTTCTCTCCAATCTTCAGACACTGTAAGTACACCTGTCCTCTTTTTTTATTTTTTGCTAATTTTTTTTAAAGTAGTAAAGCAAATAAAACAATCAGTCTGCAAATTTATACATGGTAATATTTTGTGGTTCTTTTGTTCTATGCCTCAGTGGAAGACAGTCTTACTTGTCTCTATCTCCACGCCTAAATCTTACTTATCTCTAGCCAGTTCTGTCTGTACTTTAATTCTGAATTAACCAACTAAACAACAAAGCATCTCTTGTGCCCGTTACTGTGGAACAAAACACAGTTGCTAGTGTCAGGAATGCACATTTTCTTCTTCCTCTGACCTTGAGCCGTGTTATTTCTTAGAAAATTAAAATGAGCTTTGTTAGCTTTCACCTCAAGTAAAGATATAGCTAAATGGGAAGAGTGATTTCCTATCTCCTTAGTGATATTATGTATGTCTTGTAAAGAGAAAAGCTTTATGCTTTAATATGAGACGACTTAAGGAAGCAAGTAATCACCTTTAACTGGTATTTCTTCCATCAGGACATGGTGTGGTGCAGTTGCATTTCCTCTGAGAATTGAGCAGGGGATTTTAAAAGATCCATACTTTTCCTTTTAAAGAAAACAGTGATTCCCCCTAAGCACATGGGTATATCATACTTGCTTCCCAGGGGACATGTTTAATTGCCGAGGAGAGGTGAAACTATATGGACATGACTCTTTGTCAGCCATTTTAGGTTAAGGGCCCAGGGGAAGGCTTGAATCGCCCAGAAATCCCATTAGTCTGCATCAGATTTGTAGGCTGTATCTCCTGTATCTTGAAATCCTCCTGCTTTTTGCAGGATCCTGACTATAACTTTTAATATGCTAACACATTTAGTGGCTATTAGCTAGTGCGATTGATACTCTTAGCAGGTTGCTTAATTTATTAAGGCCAGCTTAATTCTTATTAGCTTATGAGAATCAGTTTTATATGCTTATCAGAGATACTCTTTTTTAAAAAAAGAGTTATTCATCATAACTTAACTGGTAAAATAAAGATAAAAATTATCATTGCCATGCCAGAATGGTGCTCAGTGTTATAATGGTCACGTTGACTAATATAGCCTATTTTTCCCTGACATTTTTTTAGAAACTTAAGAAACAATGAAATTTCATGGGCCATAGAAGATGCTAGTGAAGCCTTTGCTGGACTCACAAGTCTCACTAAATTGTATGTATTTAAAATATTTATGTATATCGATAAGGGTATATTGTCAGGAACCCATTGTAAATGTGATTGGATTATATCTGTTTGCTGTGGCTGGGAGGTCTGAGCCTTTTGATTTATTCACTAAAGGAAGAAGCTTTTTAAAAAATCCAGTATGATTTTATTGATTTTTAGAGAGAAAAACATTGGTGTGAGAGAGAAACATCAATCAGTTGGCTCCAATACGCACCCCAACCGGGGATCAAACCTGCAACCTTTTCTATGTACGGGACAATGCTCCAACCAACTGAGCCACCTGGCAAGGGCTAAAGGAAGAAACTTGGTTGATTATTAAGTTTCTTTGTTTTGAGGTTTTTTTATTTTTTTAATTTTGTTTTTTTGTGGTGGGGCACTTTCTAACAAAAGAGCATTCCTATGGGCACATAAAGAAAAGTTGTTTATGGAACTAGAATTTCTGTTTAAGTGAAAAAATGCACTGAGAAACAAGAGTTGAACCAGTAATCTACTTAATCATGTGAGATTGATGGGTAATTTAACAAGAGAGGATTCTCTCAAGTAAGATTTTAGCTATTCTCCCATGAGAATTTTTTCAAGGCTTCACACCTGTCTGAATTTCTTTGACCTGGTGATCTTTCCCTAAGAAGGGAGAAACGGGGACTGTCATTCAGTTTCTTACATGAAAACTGCCTGTGTGTCAGTGGTCAGGAGGGTCGTTCACAGGTACCTCATTGAGTTCTCACATCTTAATAGATACCTTCATTCTCTGCTTTGCATTGGTTAGTCATAAATGTTTGCAGCTTTCATAAAAATGCATGTTTAGCTTATTTTCACCTTTTATAGGTAAATGTTTGATTTAATGAATTTAATTTTGTTTAGTGGAGCACTTTATTAGAAAGGTCTGTTTGTATTTCAGAATCTTACAAGGAAATCAGATTAAGTCAATTACAAAGAAAGCATTCATTGGTCTTGAATCCCTTGAGTATCTGTAAGTATTTTGCATATGTTTTTCTACTGTATAAATAATTTTTGCTATTAGCAGAGGTTTTCATGACTATTTAAAGTCTTTATAGAACTTAATTATAGAAATGGTGACTAATAATGTTTTGTTTCTCTTCATTTCAGAGATTTGAACAACAATGCTATAATGTCTATCCAAGAAAATGCTTTTTCTCAGACTCGCTTGAAAGAACTGTACGTAACTGAAGTATTTTTTTTTATCAATTAGGTCATTATCCATGCTTGTACTTAAAGTGAGATGAATGTGACCCAGATGTTTTCAAAAGCACACAATTCAGGCAGGAAAAAAAAGTGTCAATATGCAATTATTTTAGTGGCTGGATATAATTTAAAAATAACCCAACATTGAAAAGCGCAGTGTGGCACCAGGACCTCTATTTGCCTGTGCTTATAGTTGGCACTGATTCTTGTGCTTTATGTATACCTGACTGTTCCTTTCCTCCCTTCCCCCCTTTCTTTTTGGATTATTAGAAACATGTATCCAATCCTTACACCTTGGGGTGGGTTACACTTAGGGATTATGTCATTTTTTGGAGATGATCTAGCACTTTCAATAGAATGGTCAGAAAGGATGTCTCTGATCTGTTCAAGCTACTGAAATGTTCAAAACTGCATATAGTTGTTATAGAAAAATACATATTATACCTTTTTTTCATTCATGATTTTAAAAAAAAATTGCTTTTAATGGTTTCGAGATTTCATTGGGATGAGGTAGGGTGGAGTGGTAACTAATTCGACTATTCGGCCAGTGGTTAGAATCAAGGGCCAATAACATTTATCTTGCCCTACCTGAAAGCTATTTAAAGGAATGTCTGTAGACCAGAACTGGTTCATGATGGGATATGGATAGAAATGTGTTTTAAAACTTTTAAAAGAGTTTGACATTACTGTGACACTTGTTCAACTTTATAAAAATGTTGATCTATAACAGATGGGAAATTTTAAGAACCGGTTCTTCACCAGCTAGTTTGAGATGCACTGGAAGTGTGCTAGTTCAAACTGCCTGCGTTCAGATTCTTGCTCCATTACTCACAACTATGTGACATCAGATAAACTGATTAGCCTAAAACTGTTTTCCTACTTAAAATGACAATAGCACCCTCCTCAGGGCTGGTGAATTTAATATGAGATTAATTTAGTCACTCAAGGAGTTTATTGTCATCTCTGTTTCATAGTATATTACAATAAACTCTAGTAAGGAAGATAGGTAATGAATCAGTGGATATCTACACTAATAAAAGAGAGATGCAAATTGACCATACCTTCATGACACCTACCAGCCAATGAGGAGTGAGTATGTAAATTAACCCAACAATGATGGCAGGTTAATTTGCATACACAGGCGCCGAGTGTCCAGGGGCAGGACGGGACAGGACGCTTGTGTCATCACCATGGCGATGACACAGGCGTTCCGCGCTGCCCTGGGCCTCTGGGCAGCGTGGGAAGGCTGAAAGGCGGCTCTGGCTGGTGCAAAGGCAGTGCCGGCAGCCAGGGGAAGGAAGGCCCATTCTTGCACGAATCTTGGTGCATCCGGCCTCTAGTATTCATATAAGGTCATAAGTGGCTTTTGCCAACTATAGTGCATTATATTATCCTACAGTAATACACATTCAGAATTTTGAATAAACAGTATCCTATCTAATAAAGAGGTAATAAGCAAATTGACCATCACTCCAACACACAAGATGGCCGCCCCCATGTGGTCAAAGATTGCCGCTCCCATGTTGACACAAGATGGCCGGCAGGGAGGGCAGTTGTGGGCGATCAGGCCGGCAGGGGAGGACAGTTAGGGGTGACCAGGCTGGCAGGGGAGGGCATTTGGGTGGACCAGGCTGTCAGGGGAGGGCAGTTGGGGGGGAACCAGGCCGGCAGGGGAGGGCATTTAGGGGCAGTCGGGTCAGCAGGGGAGCAGTTAGGCGTCGATCAGGCTGGCAGCGGAGTGTCTTAAGGGGCGTCAGGCAGGCAGCAAGCTTTTGAGCTATCAGTCCCGATTGTGAGAGGGATGTCCGACTGCCTGTTTAGGCCCGATCCCACCGGTATCTGTGCCTAAACGGCAGTCGAATCTCTCTCGAGGGTCCCAGATGGGAGAGGTGCAGGCTGGGCTGAGGGACGGACACACACACACACACACACACACACACACTGTGCATGATTTTCGTGCACCCGGGCCTCCTAGTCCTATATAATAAAAGCCTAATATGCAAATCAACTGAATGGGGGGAAGACTAGTTGCTATGATGCTCACTGACCACCAGGGGGCAGATGCTCAATACAGGAGCTGCTCCCTGGTGGTCAGTGTGCTCCCATAGGGGGAGCGCCACTCAGCCATAAGCCAGGCTCACGGCTGGCACGCACAGTGGCAGTGACGGGAGCCTCTCCCGCTTCTGCTGCAGGCAGGCAGGCAGTAAGGAGTGATGGGTCCTGGACTGTGAGAGCCCTGGACTGCAAGAGGGATTTCTGACTGTCAGCTTAGCCCCAGGGGGGACCAGGCCTAAGCCAGCAGGTGGACATCCCTCGAGCTGGACTATGAGAGAGGGCTCAGGCCAGGCTGAGGGACCTCCCCACCCCCAGTGCATGAATCTCGTACACCAGGCCTCTAGTGTATTATATTATCAGGTAATAAATGTTCTGATGAAAAGCAAAGCTGGGTCAAAGGTATGTAGAGTGGCAGGGATTGCTATTTTATATGAAGTAGAGAGAAAAGGCTTTCTGAAGATAACAGCATTTGAGCCAGGGATGAAATGGCAAACCATTGAATACTGGCCAGAGGGCATCCAGGCACAGGGAAGAGCAATTGAAAAGGCCCTAAGGTAGGAGCTTGCTTCTTGTGCTTGACACTGGTGTGGCAGGAGTGGGAGGAGACGAGGTCAGGGAGTTAAAAACAAGAGCGAGGGCATGTAGGATGTAGCACCTTATAGGTCATGAGGAATCAGGACCCCTCTCCTCTCGCCCCCCAAAACATTAGTAAACTTGGGAGAGTTTTGAGATGCTCAGCACAGAGCCTGGCACATTGAAAAAATTGAATAAATAATATTAAAAATACAATGTTATGGTAATTATCATTAGTTATTTTCTGCCAGAATTTTTAAGTGGCCTTTTTTTTTTTAATTCTTGTATATGAGCTCAGTTCAAAATGTAATTTAGGTAGTAGATGAAAGCACATATTACAGTTCATTCTTCAGAGAGTCATTTTAGTAATATGGGAATTGATTTGAACAAATTGCTAATGCAGGAACTATAATACAGCTTTTTTTACTGAGAAGTTTTGGTTACTTTATTTAATTTTTTAAAATTGATTTTAGAGAGAGGAAGGGGTGGGGGATGGGGAAGAAGGGAAGGGGGGAGAAAGAGAGAGAAGTCGATCTATTGCCTCCTGTACATGCCCAGACCAGGGATGGAACCTGCAACCTGGGTATGTGCCTTGACCAGGAATTGAACCTGCCACCTTTTGGTGTATGGTTACTTTAAATCTAAGTCATATTTATAATACTTTTTACATCAACACTTATTTAAAACTCTACATTTTTTTTTATATTGTTTACAATACTTTGTGAAAATTTGAGGGGAGAGTTGCATATAAATTGAAAATATTTTGCATTGAAATGATCATGGTAGAAAAATTAGAAAGTACCGTTAAATCAAAAGGGAGAGAAAGATCCCAAATCCCTACTACTTAAAGACAAGGACTGTTAATGTTTTGGTATCTATCTATCCACATACTGAGAGAATGCCAGGTACTCTCTTAGGCACTTGTGGGCAGGGTCCGTTAGCATGCAAAGGGTAGAAAGATGCAGAGAAATAGAAGTGAAGGGAACTAAAGTGAATTCAGTGGTTTCTGTGGCCAGGCACTGTGCTAAATACTTTATTTAAAATTGTTTTTGAGGTAGGCACTTTCAGTCCCATTTTCCAGAGATAGAAACAGATTTTGGAGACATTCAGTATCTTGCCTAATGTAAGTAGCGGAATTAGTCCAGGCCTCATGGGTCCAGTTTATACCTAAGAAACCGTAAATCAGACATCGTTCCTCTGTTCTTAACCGTCCAGTGGCTTCCCATCACACATAAGGAAAACAACAACTCAAGTTCTTAGTTTATAAAGCACTTGCGTGGACTGGCTCTCCCTGTCCAGCTCTCTGACCTCATTCTGTCACCATCCCTCAGTTTCCTCTGTCTGCGACACACTTAACCACAAGTCTTTTTGCTATTTGCTGTCACTTTTCTTGGGTCGTTGTCCAAATGTCATCTCTTCAAAGAACCTTTCCCTGACCACTCTACCTAAACTGGTAGCTGCTATCTCAGGGTCATTGCCTAGCTTTGTTTTTCTTGATAGCACTTACTTTCTGACATTATACTTGCATTTATTTGTTTTTTGCTTGGCTTAAATACGAAAGCTCTGTGAAGGATATATTCCCACAGCCTACAATATCTGGCATGTTGTAGACTTCAGTATTTCTCTATGATTGAATGAATGAATGAATGTAACATAAGAATTCTTAAATGCATAAGGTAACTTTTGGCCTGCTTAATTAAAATTATCCTTGATAAAACATGGCTTTTGTTATATCCTTAAAGACTGAAACTTCTTTGGAATCAGGTCTTTGGTATTTTACACCAGACTTTAAAAGTAAATGAGGGACCGTTAAAAGAAAACACTGATTTTTTTTATATACAGGGTGGGGCAAAAGTAGGTTAACAGTTATAGTACAAATAAATAATAAGTAATATAAGAATAAATTTTGTTTCGCACACTCAAAACTTTAGCTACTTTTGCCCCACTCTGTATGTTTTATAGGCCTATTATAGACCACAAATGATTTTTCAAAGATTCTCAGTTTAAGTTATAGCACACATTGCCACAGGCTGAAGTGTGTTCAGTCTCGATGAAGTAATTTGAAAAAATTATATCTTCCACAACAAAGATGTGTTTATGCTCCAACATATAAAGCTTTTTTCCCTAAACTTTTCTGGGGGAATTTTAAACCTTAAAGATTTAAAGAAAGGTAAAGGAACATTCAAATACCCTTTACCTAGATTCACCAATTATTAACTTTTTGCTAAATTTGTTATCTATTTCTCTCTCTCACCCCCTCCTTCTCTCTTTCTCTCCCATTACATCTTTGTCTATCTCTCTACACACAGAGAGATAGATACATATACATACACACTGCAATTTTGCTAAACCATTTGAAAGTAAGTTGGAAACATCATGACAGTTCACTGATAAATATCAGTCAGCATGTATTTCCTAAAAACAAGGATCTTTTCCTACATTATTACCACAGCACTGTTGTCACACCCAGTGAAATTAACATTGATAAAATAATATTATCTAATATGCAGTTCATACTCAAATTTCCCCAGTGTCAGAAAATGTTCTTTGTAGATTTATTTTTCCAGTCAAGGATCATTCGTTTTATTTTGTTGTGATGGTTCTGTAGTCTCCTTTAGTCTAAAACGGCCCCTGTCCATTCCCCCCTCCTCCCCATTAGTATCTTTCATGACACTGACAGTATTTGAGGAATTCAGGCTGACAGTCTCAATTTGTTTTCTCATGGTTAGACTCAGGTTAAACATTATTTTGGCAAGAAAAATGCATAGGTACGTAGTCAGCTTTTAATGGTTGAAGAAACTTAGAATGAAAAGTAAAAAGCACTTTTTTCCCTCTTTGTTTCTACAGGATTCTGAACACAAACAGTTTGCTCTGTGACTGCCATTTGAAGTGGCTGCTTCAATGGCTCGTTGATAATAACTTTCAACATTCCGTGAATGCAACTTGTGCACACCCCGAGTGGCTAGCAGGGCAGAGCATCCTGAATGTGGATCTGAAGGATTTTGTCTGTGGTTCGTATTTTTGTCTTTTAAATTTTCTATATTACACACTTATATCTTAACAATAGAATTTTTTATAAAGATGGTTATAGGATTAAGAACTTGTCTTGAAATTTTAATATATGCTTTTCTTTTATTCCCGTTAACTGCTAATGCTTAGGAAGTACATTCTAGGCATAAGTGTCAGTAAGGGATAGTGGGAAGAGTGCTAAACCCTGAAGTTTGAAAACCTGGGTTCTGGTCCAGGCTCTGTTACTGACTTACATGTCTCTGAGCAAGTCATTTGACCTTTTGGGCCTCATTCTTCCATCTTTAAACGAGGCATTGGATTCTAGCTCTATAGTCTCTTTCAATCTTAATATGCCATCTTGTAAACAGAACACACAATTTTACATTATTTGTTTTAAAATTGAATTTGTAGAAGCAAAAATGAACAGCTGACTTGTCTCCTGCCCTATTATTTTCCCTTAGATGATTTTCTCAAGCCACAGATAAGAAGACATCCTGAAACCACAGTTGCTCTCAGAGGTGTGAACGTGACTCTGACGTGCGCTGCAGTGAGCAGCAGTGATTCACCCATGTCTACTGTGTGGCGCAAAGACAGTGAAATCCTGTATGATGCTGACATTGAGAATTTTGTTCGTTTTCAACAGCAAGCTGGAGAAGCTCTGGAATATACTAGTGTCTTACATCTTTTCAATGTGAATTTCACAGATGAAGGAAAATACCAGTGCATCGTTACTAATCACTTTGGTTCTAATTATTCTTATAAAGCCAAACTGACTGTGAATGGTAAGGAATTATGTACCCTAATAGTTTTCTGTAGTTGGGAGGATTTTCCACATTCCATTTTGAACCATTTGACTCAAGAAAATTAGGCGAAACCTGACATTTGAGGAGGATCTTACTGTTTCTGTCTTTAGGGTTGTGATCATGTATAGACTGGATTGTCAGTTTGTCCACTTCCTATCCCTAATTGGTCATTGGTTGAGGGGTAAATGTGAATTCCATGTCCCCAGGAGAGAAGCTGCTCTCGCTGTTATTTATGCTTTTGAAAAAATCCTTTTGAAATTCTCCATTTTCTTTCCAGACCATAATTCTTTTCTGAGAACTATGAAATTTATTCCTGGCATTGTTCACAGGGCCTTTCAATAGCGGAGTATTCAGCACATTTCTAGGTCCAATGATGATCATCATTGTCTTAATATAGTCACACAACAACCATTGTTGAAATTAATGCTGTCTTCACTGTGGCTATAAAAAACTTCTCCAAAACAGCTTGATCTATTTATTACCCATTAGATTGAATAACTACAACATTTTAGACTGTGCACTCAAAAGATATACTTACGTTTTGCTTGTGTGTTGTTTTATGAGACTTTTGAAGGCATAATTTTTTTTTATCATACAGTTCCTTTGACAGCACTGTAGAGGTTAGTGTGAGAAGCACCGTTTAGTCTCTTAAGTAAGGACGTCAGTAAATACCAGGTTCTAAAATACGGAGTTCAGAAAGGTTTGTGGCCGTCTGCTTTCCCTGTCCCCTGATGGGGACAGGGAGGTGTGTCATGTACTCTAGAAGGGTGAGTCATCACTGTGCTGCAGATATTCAGGTTGAGAGAAAAGATGGCCTCTGAAGTTGCATTTACTGTCAGTCCAGAGAGCATGTCTCTCTGAGAAATGCAGCCTGATGACAGTTGTCATTTGGCCTAACAGGTTCTCCCTGTTTGTGTGTGTTTTCCCTCACCCACTTTTTCTTGGTGATCTTTCTTGGAACAGAGATGCCTTCATTTCTGAAAACCCCAATGGATCTAACTATTCGCACCGGTGCCATGGCCAGATTAGAATGTGCTGCAGAAGGGCACCCTGCACCTCAGATTTCCTGGCAGAAAGATGGCGGGACTGACTTTCCTGCAGCCCGAGAAAGACGAATGCATGTCATGCCCGAGGATGATGTCTTCTTCATCGCCAACGTGAAGATAGAAGACATGGGGATCTACAGCTGCATGGCACAAAACATAGCAGGAGGCCTCTCGGCAAATGCCTCACTCACAGTGTTAGGTATGTTTACTGCCGTGGGTCCCAGCTTTTGTAGGAGCCTTTTTATTAGGGACCTAATCTCGGTCTTAATGACAAGAAAAGTCTGATATTTCAGCTGTGATCCTTACATCTCATCACCTTGTTTTGTCAGTTTATGCAGGGTTATGTCAGCCGAGGGCTATGGTCGGCAAACCGCAGCTCGTGAGGCCCGCGTGCGGGCGCGCACGTACAGTGCGATTGAAACTTCATGGCCCATGCGCAGAAGTCGGTATTTTGTGGAAGAGCCGGTATTTTGTGGAAGAGCCACACTCAAGGGGCCAAAGAGCCGCATGTGGCTCGAGAGCCGCGGTTTGCCGACCACTGGCCTAGGGCATTAGTGGATCAGGTAGCTGAAATCTGGGGGAATGCTGAGGGCGGATTTAGAGAGGTTTACCACATGAAATGAAAATTCAAGGCCCTAAGTGTATCCTATTATATCTCCCTCTGTACGGTGCCTGCTTCATACACATGAGTTTCAGTTATTTTATAGGGAACTTGAGACAGTTTAACTGTTTTCCCTCCCTGTCATTTAAAATTTTTTAAAATACAGAATGACCTGTCCTCTAGTTAGATTTCCCGTTTTCCATCCAGTGCTCCTTTTAATTTTATGCTCTGTGAAATGTCTTTCCCCTAAAGATTTCTCCTGACAGGCCTGTTTCTTCTTATGACAATGCTTTTCTTCATGGACTTTACTCCCCGGGAAATTCTATTTTTAGTTCTCTATTCCCCTAGATGTTAAGGTTTTTAAAAGTTTATTGGTTTGTGTTATTTACTTGTATAATAAAAAAATAAGTTTATTGTGTTTAAAAACATTAGCTACACAGAAAATTAGAATAAAGGAGGGAAAGTCACTAAAACAGTTGTTAAAGATTTTGTCATATTCTGGACTTCTTTTTAACTCATTTTTATGTAGTTATATATACCTGCTTTTTTCCACTTAATATTTATCACAGGGTTACCCTGTTATTGGTCTTCATAGAATATCACGTTGCTGTGTACTGTAATTTAATTAATCATTTTCCTGCTAGGTTTTTAGATTTTTCCCTTTATTTTTAAAATTACAACTAATTTATAATAAATACTTTTGTGTAGAAATTTTTGAATTCCTTAGCTTAGGATAGCTTGCCCAAGGTGGAATTACTGAGATAAGATTTAGATTTTTTTGAGACTTTTGCTTTTCTGAAATACTAACTTGTAATCCTCCCATGAGTATATGAAATTGCCTATTTCATTTTCACCTCATCAATCCAATAGGATTTAAGGAATAAAACTGCTTAATATGATTTTAATGTAATCTCTCTGTTAGAGACGCCCTCATTTATTAGACCCCTGGAGGACAAGACAGTAGCCCGAGGTGAAACTGCAGTATTACAGTGCATAGCTGGAGGGAGTCCTGCCCCTCGCCTCAATTGGACCAAAGATGATGGACCACTGCTGGTGACAGAACGGCACTTCTTTGCTGCAGCCAACCAGCTTCTCATCATTGTAGATGCTGGGCTAGAAGATGCTGGGAAATATACCTGCATTATGTCTAACACTCTTGGAACAGAACGTGGTCACATTTACCTAAATGTCATCTCATCCCCCAATTGTGACTCTTCCCAGAGTAGCATTGGGCATGAGGACGATGGCTGGACCACAGTTGGCATTGTCATCATCGTTGTGGTCTGCTGTGTTGTGGGCACCTCTTTGATCTGGGTCATTGTTATTTACCACATGAGAAGGAAAAATGAGGACTACAGTATTACGAACACAGGTGAGTGGCACCAGTTGACACCTTTGGCTTGTACTTGAATCGGGAATGTAGTATAGTATTTACTGTAAAATATAAAAATTGGGGAACTTTGTTACTTTATAGTAGTATGTAGTAGAAGGAAGAGTTTTTCTGTTAAAATATCCAATTTCCTTGATATAACAGAACCTCTCTAATAAATAGTTTTAAGAATTTGTGGACACTCCCTTAAAAGTTTACTCTCCTTTTTCTAATGCCTACAGCTCATTTCCATTGTAGTTTCTCTGTGGGGAAGAGGAGCCCTTATGACTGATCAGTCTTTCATACTCCTCACTCTGAAATTCTGTGAGAGGAGTTGCAGCCATAGACTGTGAAAGTACCCACAGATAAGATTTCCGATTTTAGGTTTTGTTTCTCTTGGTAATACTATTACAATGAAGCTTTGAGAAGAAGTCTAGTGAGATGATTTTAGGGGAAATTCTAGTGAGAAATGATTTTAGGGGAAATTTTAAGTTCCTAGGTATACATAAAACATTTTCCTGGCCAATAGAATCCAAGTGGAACACATTTATAAAGTGGTCTTCTGAGCGTTGGCTTAAATTGCCTAACTTTATTTGTGAGTTACATACAGATTTCTCTTTTGCAGAGGAGCTTAACCTGCCTGCAGACATTCCCAGCTACTTGTCTTCCCAAGGAACTCTGTCTGAGCCACAGGAAGGCTACAGCAACTCTGAGGCAGGCAGTCATCAGCAGCTCATGCCTCCTGCCAATGGATATTTACACAAAGGCACTGATGGTAATGACTCTTCGTTATGCTTACACTGCAGCCCTACCCGCTTGAGTTTATTTTTTAGTGTCTAGTTTTGCCCTTTAACCTGAAGCAGTATTTTAAAAGAGATACTCAAAACATTTGGCCCCATGCAAAATAGGATAAAAATTGACTAAAGTCTTAAACAGAGAAGAAAGTCACCTGACAGGTAGGAGAAACACATCCTAACGGGATTGAGAGTACTACCCAGCACAGTCTCCCACACCAGTGTTACTATGGGAAGGAGAAGCTCTGGAAGTGTTTTTTTGGTGTCTTTTATCTGATTTCAGGCGTGAACATCCTTCAGACCATGTTCAGGGGAGGTTTGTTTCTCCTGCTGACAGGTATATAGTCACTGAAGTTTAAACGGTGATGATGTTTTTCAGCATATATCAGATAGAGATGAAATGTTCCCAATTGAACCCACCTTCTCAACATAGCTATTCTTCCCATTCCGTCCTTCCCACAGGAAGGTCAATGAAGGGATAGAATCGGGTTTGATTCCTAGTCCCTCTTTCCAGCTCTGTGGCCATGAACAAGTTAACATCTGAGCTTTAATTTCCTCGTAGCTAAAATAAACTATTTTATAAAGCACTTTCCTCGAGTTTTAGCAGATTCTTTCAACAAATCTGTGTAGTACTTCAAGTCCTATACAAATGAAAGGTCTATTTCATTTCTAGAGATTTTTTATGCTGGGTGTTGACAGAACTTCTCTATGTAATTGACAAGTTGGATTTTTTGGTTCTCCATGAAAAAGGGGGTATTTTTAGCTTTTAAAAAAATACGTAAAGCCTTCACTCTGAAATTTGTGGGAAATAACACTGCTTTCTGGGTTAAACAAAATTACATTTCGATTTCTTCCAGTTCTAAAATCTTGTTGCTTGATTGTGAATTAAGTACCTCGCGCTTTATTCCTCACTCTCTTTCATCATTCAGTTTTCAAAGCACATAACAGCCCAGGGAGCTCACTGTTACTTTTACTTCTGCCAAACACATATTTGTTGGGCAGGACTCTTGGCTTTCTCAGGGGTACTTTCCGCAGCTAGTGTTGCTTAACCTCTTGACTCATGAAAGTAATATGGGCTTTTGTGAAGTGAAGCGATCATAACTCCTTGTTCTCTGCTTCAGTTTGCTTAAGCCAAACATGTCTTGTAGCACAGTGCCAGCCTTATTTTGGCTCCCTTGATTTGAGCATGACCTTATCCAGGCTGGACAAAGATGGCTTAGTCAAGAGCACGAGCTGGAGCCAGAGTGCCGAGTCCAGATTTCAACTCCTCGCTCTGGCAGTATGCTTGGGCCAATTACTTAACTTCCCTGTGTTGTAGTTACTCCATCTGGAAGATGGGGAAATAATAGTACCTACCTTACGGGGATGTTGTGAGGATTACACAGTTAATTTACAGAAGACCTCCGAACTTCACCTGGTCTGTAGAGTAAGTGTGGAATAATTGCCAGCTCTGATGATAATGACGGCAACTGTAGGAGAAAACTGATGATGGTAAAGCTGGTTCCTTAACTGAAGGCTGTTCGGCTTCTATCCCCTGTTGACCTAGGTGGCTCTGGAACCCGGGTTATCTGCTCAGATTGTTACGACAATGCCAACATCTACTCCAGGACGCGAGAATACTGTCCGTACACCTACATTGCTGAGGAGGATGTTCTAGATCAGACACTGTCCAGCCTCATGGTCCAGATGCCCAAAGAGACTTATCTGGCACATCCTTCCCAAGATGCCACAACGCTGGAGAGCCTGGTATTACCAGCAGATAGAGAGACGTCTGCCTTTCCCACCAACCACGAGAGGGTGAATGAGAAGACACTCGCCTCCACACAGATGAGCAGTGGTAAAGGGCACAGTGTTTTTTTGTTCAATTTGTTTTCACTTTCACCTACTTGATTTTTTTCTGTCATGTAGTTAGCACTCTTATTTGACAGGAAGCAGCAGTCCAGTTGGTGTAATGGAGTCATTAGCTGCTATTACATGGTATGAAGTAGAGCGAGAGATTTTGAGAGACTAGAGTTACAGAGAAGTCTGTATCTTTTGGATGAAAATAGCTTTTGTGGAAATAGCAAGACCACGCCTCTAAAAATTCAGAAGCCATATAGCAACAGTTTTTAAAAAATTTCACATAGGTGTTACTTTTCTCCTTTCATCTTACTTAAATGATGGAGATCTGAAGTGCTAAGGATATAATTTGATGAAAGTTTTTACTGAGAAAACTTTTAAATGCTTTATTTGGTTGCTGCACTATCAGGTAAGCATTGAATGCCAGCATCACTTGGCAGGTGTTTGCTTTTGTCTGTGAGGTATGATGGTCAGGGCCATCAGTGGGAAAGCAGTGAACCAGAGTCTAGTTTAACTGGACCCCAGCTTATTTGTATGCATATAAAGCTTGAGAAACCCTGCTGGCGTTTACTCTTCACGTGGGTTTTTAAAAAATTTTATTTCTGAGCATTTGTTTCCAGAATATTTGAAAAAGCTTTTTCCAAAATGCATCCCCATGAAGTTAACTTAACTTTCAGTAAATGATCTTTGGGGAGAGAGCTTACCTTGCAGTAAATAAGGAGAATGAGAAATGCACACTTTTGAACTCAGAGTACGAACAATCTGATTTAAAATCGCTGCTTTTGGTTATCTTATTGTTGGAATTATTAGAATGCTAGAAGCTAGAGGGAAATCGTTTATTTTTAAGATAGTTTTTTAAAACATAGGCATTTAATTGTTATTTAAAAACATACAGGGTGGGGCAGAAGTAGGCTTACAGTTGTTCCTAATGAAAGTAATACAATAATTAATAAATAATAAAACAAGAATAAATTCTGGGTTTCATGTACTCACAACTGTAAGCCTACTTTTGCCCCACCCGGTATGGCTTCTCTGAATTTTTATTACGCATTCCATTACAGTGTGAATACTATTAGTCCCTTAGTCTGTTTCCATGTGTCTAAAGAGTTTTATTCTCAAATTTTGTAGCAGCAGAGTCATTAACAAGAGGCAAAAGTAGGAGACATATCGCATGGATTCAGCAAATAATTGGTTAAGTTTGAGTAGAAGGGTTTGCATGACCATAGTTCCAGTTTTCGTCTTGTTTCTTTTTTTAGTGTTGCTAAGAAGATGGCAAGTATATATTTGATCTCAGCATCCTTATACAGGAATATTGGGTATCTTTATTTCTTTGAGGATTTGGGTAAAAGAAAATTAAGTTTTAGGAAATTAATTTTGAACTTGTATTTGCCACTGACGATTCTTGTCTTTGATTCTCAGAAACATTGCAGCGGCCTCTGTGGAACGTGAGCGGAGAACTGGGCCTGCCTCCTGCTCCCTTTTCCCAGCAGCCCGGCCCTGCGTCACCACAGCCTCATCAGCACGAGGGCCTGGCGGAGAGTGGTGCCGCTTGCTCCGCTTCCCCCACGCCCTGTCACAGGTTGCACGACCACGCTTTTGATTTTAGTAGGACTCGGAACATTCAAGAGGGAAGCGAGGGCACATGAAATATTCTAGGATGCAATCTGGGCAAAGACCCAAATTCATTAATTTTGTATTTACTACCTCAGAGTTCAGAAGAAACCCCAAAGTCAGCATTTGCTTCACTCTTTGTCTACAATTACATTTGACCACACCAAGGTGGGCTAGGCATTTGTTTGGGCTTCCACCTGACAAAGAGAAGATAATGGCTGACAGACCTGGGTACATGTACTAAACAGTGTGCCACAGGGGCAGAGGACGGTACAGGACAGATGTGCTTCCTGAGGGTCCGGGGGAATGTGCATATTGGGAAGAGTCTCATTGCTGCTTACCATGCTGATTGTCTCAACCCGCAGAATGATTCTGAGAAAACAGAATCTATTTTGCCTTCCAAAGAACAAAAATAACTCTGGTCCTTGCTTGGACGTGTTCGGGGATTTGTCAGTGGTTTTAGCAGGTTTTAGCGAGCCAGTCGTTGAGGCTTTGATATTCAAAGTCTTTGGCAAGTATCCCAGGCTTGACCAGCTGTTACCAGGTCAAGGAGTTTTGTATTCATGTGAATCATTTTTTTTTTTCCTTGAGGGGCGAGGGAGAAGGGGATCCCTATCACCCTGGAATCTCATTGTAAATATATGTGCATTTATAAATAATTTTTTGTATTCATTGACCATAAGTGTTGGCTGCAATGTAAATATTTTTGATATGCCAAAATTATATATGACATCTAGTTATAATGTTGACAGCAGCTTCTCAGACCACAGATTTTGTATATCTTGGTTTAGTGATTTTAAAGGCTGTTTAAAGTTTTAAAAATGTATTTGTTAAGAAGTCTATGTATAGAGGCAGGGTACCCAGTGATTGGGTGCACACAAACACAGTCTTGGTGTAATTAACCACTTACTTCGTACCTAAAGGTTCATACATCTACTCATTTGCCACCTGTTTACAAGTGCCAGACACTATTACCTTTCTAGGGTAGAAAGGCTCTTTGAAAACACTAGCAGTCCTGTCATCACCATATGTACGTAAATAAAGGAAAACTCGTTTGGGGAATATCTTCTTTCAACAAAGGATTTAGTTGACGAGGAAACCAAAGATTGTTTCTTTTCTGTTTGTTTTTTTATAATGTCTCTTCTACCAATGCACAGTACATCTTAAGAAGGGAAAAGGGCTTTTGGAAGTAGAAGGACATGCGGAAATGTTTACACTATAAAGCTTTGGAGTGGTCCTTGTTTAGTACAAGTGATTATTTAAGCCAAAAAGTTTTCCTGAATTTCTGATAGCGTTACGTAAACAAAGGACTTAACACTAATGGAATGGACTGAAGTTGTTTGTGCTTTCAGATTTCCTTACATAGGCAGGCAGGCGGTCAGACTCTGTCCTCTACATATTGTAAGTGCTAGCTAGCTATGTACTACACAACCTGTCACTTCAGTGAAAATAAGTCATTGTGCATTTCAGGGGTTCTAAACTCACATAATTTCCTAGCTTTTTGCTAGAATTTCATGCTTGCTTTCAATCCTAAATCTCCCATAGGCAGCAGCACCTCTTGAGCTGTTTCGTACCATCATGCCTTTCTCTTTTTCCTTTTTAAACTATCAGCCTTTCTTCATTTTCACTTTGAACTTCTTAAATATCCCCCCCCACCACCCTTCAATTTGTGATCCCTCTTCCTGCTTACTAGGTTGTAGTGTAATTTGTACTGACTTAGAATCAAGAGACCTGATTGCATTCCCTGCCCTGTACTTACTAGTTGTGTAATCAGGGCCCAGTCCCTTTACATCTCAGCCTGTTTATGAAATGAGGGCGCTTTACGGATGCTCTGAAGCCCTTTCCAGCTGTAACATTCTATGAACCTGTGATCCCTCCAGGAACCAAGGAGGGTTATGCTACTCTAATAAAAAGCTGCTTTCATGAGATGTTTGTTAAGTAGAACAAGAGCGATGCTGCTTACTCTGACTTGAGCCAGACTTACTTCCTCTATAGCAGGAGAAATGGTATAAGCTACACTCCTGGGAAGAAATATTCTGCTTCTAAACAGTGTCAGTAAACAAGGACACTGGACTGCATTGACAAGCACCAGTGCGCTCTAGCACAGCAGGTCTGAGCGCTGGTGTTGGAATACTCCACAGAATCTGAATCAGTTGGAGGGTGTGCCACCGCTAATTTGTAACTAGTTTGTGACCTTTCTGCTGTGTTCAAGGTTATCCCAATAATGATAGTACTCTTTCTCATATTCTGATAGACTTTCTTGGGTGAAAAAGGTGGAGATAGAGCTAGACTGCAAGTGAGCATTGGCTGTCATGTGTGAGAGGACAAAACAGGCTGGACCAGTGCCCTAGGAAAAATAGGTACATGGTGCTGCCGTGGTGTTGGCAGTGGCCGTTCTCTGCAGTATCAGTCTGTCTCCTGATGGCCAGGGATTCCGTTTTGTCAACTCTCAGATATCCCTAGCCTGTCTACTGGTACATAACTAAAAAACTTAACGTAAATACTAGTCAGGAATTTGTTTAAATGTGAATAGCCTACCCCTGGTCTTTAAAGAAGATAATTTAATAAATTCTAATCTTAGGAGGAATACCTGAAACTTTTCATTATTGCATCTGTTCTTGACCAAGCAGCATTTAACTCTCTACTATAACCCGGATTAGTGGCTCAGCAGTGTTTCTTTCCAGCATCGTAATGTCTGCCTGTTGCCAATTTAACAAGGGATGTGGCTGACCCAGGCAAACGAAAATGCTAGGACCCAATTACCACTTCCTCTCAGGAGCGATGCATAAATCCTCTCATGTGTTGGTATCCCTCAGGCCGATTCTTCAGGCTTGCCTGGAAGAACTAGCCTTGTCCTTGAACTCCAGCCTCACTGGCACAAGCTCCACACCTAAGCCACTGGCTTTCTGTCCTTGGCAGCTTCTAAAGTGCTTTCCCTAGAAGGCACAGTACTCCGAGGACCCAGCCACGTGCACTTCCCTCCAGGTGCCATCTCAGAATGCTTAGGATGCATGTTTCTCTGTAAGGTAACTCTCATGTTTAAAAACAGTTGCCTTCACATTACCCATTTGGAGGTTGTAAAAGAAACACTAAGATGTTAAGCAACTTAGACTGAGCCATTTTCCTAAGAAAAGGGAGATATGATAAAAGTCTTTAATTACTTTAAAAGGTTGTCCTATGAGATTCACTGTTTTGATTCCAGAGGACCTGGGTCATATCAGTGGGGCAGCAGCTACAAGAGGTGCAGAATACACTGGCCAGTAATCTATAATAATAAAAGCGTAATATGCTAATGAGACCCGGCAGCCGAAGGATCTTCTGGATGAAGCCAGGGCTGCGAGGGCCAAGCCCCTTGCACGAATTTCGTGCATCAGGCCTCTAGTTCTATATAAGCTCACTTGCTAACCTAACTGTTAGATTTATCTGACAATTGGAATAATCAGCCTTTGGGGGAAAAGTACACACGGAAGCTGAATAATCATTTGCTAATAACTTTGAGGAAATTTCTGCCTTGAGATGGAATATGGGCAAGATGACTTTCATTTTATCATTGGAAATCTCCAGAAAAACCGTGCCCTTCAGAATCATTTATATAAAGTATAGAGCACTTAAGAATTTTTTTTAAACTAAAGAATTTTGTGTTTTGGCCTATTCTGTGTTAATGGCTGAAAACATGAAAGTCTGGGCTTATTCTGAGGAAATCTGTAACTAGTAATTAACACAGACAGCACTACCATAATAAAAAGTTTAAAGCCTATCATGTATTATATCCCTCCCTTTACTCTTTATTTAATTTTGATCCCTGTTCTTATCAGTGGGCTCCATATAGAATGGGGTTGGAATTGTAGTGTTTAATTTTACACCGAGTATTTCACTCAAGTGTGTGGTGGCCTGTTCTAATCACTTGACTATCCACAGAAATGCCAAGAGGGTAATGGAGCTACAGAGGTAAATTTGCTGTCATTTTATGCTACGTCTTCCATTTCATATTTTACTTCTTGATGCAGATGACAGGTAATTGTGAAACAGTCGAGCTAAGGTTTTTTGGCAATCTGCAAGGAATGTTTCATTTTTCTATTACATGGTCTCTTTCCAGTTCAGTTTGGCAGATGTTTCCCCCTCCTGCTCTTCTAACCTTTTTTTGGGAGTACAAGCTACACCAACATCAGTCAGCTTTCATTTTCTTTCTGTTTTGGACACTGCCTTGTTTGTTGCAAAAATAACAAGTTCTGAATTGAGAGATCTATTATAAGCTGCTCTTATCAAAACAACACCTGAAAGCCCATGAGTCATCTGAAGGTTTTATGGGTACTAAAGGGTGTGTGTGTGTGTGTGTGTGTGTGTGTGTGTGTGTGTGTGTGTGTGTTTTAAGAGTAATATTTGGACCTGTTCCCTCAAGTTTGTATTGTTTATCAGTCCTAATAATCTTCACCAACGGGTGGGGTGAAGGTGAAAAACAGGTGTAAGGAGTATAGTTATCAGCTGTAACTGTCTTGAAAGAGAAATTGGTCATCGTGTGGTCAACTGCTCTTAGAATTTTCCTTCGCTACTGGAAGTGGCCTCTTGATCCGTAGACTATTTCTATGTTCCCACTATGCTCCCCCTGTGTTTCCCCACCCCCATCAGAGGATGTCAGTCTGAGCAGCCCTGGTACTAGATGTCCCTGAGGAGAGTTGTAAGCCAAGTTGTTCAGTGTGGCCCTTTCCTCGTATCTATTTATATTTTCTCACACATGAGAATGTATATTTTATAAAGCATGTGTTTGTCTACTTGTTTGTTTACTGTGATATGTCTTCAATAAAGCTAAACTACATTATGATTTTCTGGTCTTTTCTTGCCTCAAGTACAGGACGAAATGGTGCATTACGCTTTATGATTCCAAAGCACAGCTTCTTGCCCCTTCCTTTGTCACGTAGTCTTTGTTACGGCCTGACTTGTGTGCCCCCAGTAAGAAGGGAGAGTTTAGAGCCCAGACCTGCATTTGCACAGAGGACAGTGAGTAGACAGCCATCTGCAGGCCAGCAAGAGAGGCCTCGGAAAAACCTGCCGACATTACCGTGGACTTGAGCATCTGGAAATGTGAAAAAGTGTTGTCTACGCCCCGTCTGTGAGGTTTTGTTATGGCAGCCTGAGCAAGTAATACAATCTTCCGATAACCGAGCCACGTTGGTAGTTTTCTTATACCCCAGGCTGTGGGATTTGCCTAAGGTCAGAGGCTCCAAAGCCCATGCTCTTTGGACTGAGTCATACTGTCTTCTGGCCCCAGCCGGAGCCTTTTATACTGAAAAGCACTGCAGAGATGAACACACTGGCTGGTGTGCTTGCAGTTCCGGCACTGCACAGCCCCAGCTGCACAGAAGTTTAAACGAAAGGCGGCCGCAGCACTGAACGATGCTGCCCAGAAAGCAAGAAGCTAATGTGCGTCTGCAGCATAAGTGCCTGGAGGTTGAGTGCATCTAGGAACAAAGGAGCAAGGTGTTTGGAGCAAGTGCTTTTAAGCTCCTGTTTTGTTCTCTTCCAAGGAGAAAACAGGTTTTTAAATCAATAAGTAGAATCCCAAATGTGGAATCACTGGCTATTCTGAGTTCTTTGGATCAAGTCGTTTAATTTTGTGTCCTTTTAAAATCCTCCATCAAGGCCAATGTGAATTCCTCCGTCTCAAATACAATGGGCATGTGGTTGAGGTCGGCCGTGATGGAGCCTAGCTTGAATTATTTATTCTGGTCAAGCTCCAGAGACAAGTGCTCGGGTCTGTTCCAGCCCAGAAACAGTGTAGAGCACTAGGATCGTTGTCAGCTGAATTCCTGCTGCTTCCAGGCCCTGCTCATGCATGTAACCTCTCTGGTCATGCATGTAACCTCCCTGCTCATGCATGTAACCTGGGGTGAGTGCTTCAGGGACCATCCAGACACACTCTTACTGAGATGGAGCTTACAGCTAAGATTCAAGTGCAGGGTGGAGAACTTGACGTGGAGAAGTACAGACTCACCGTAAATTGCGGATTTGGGGGAAGGCAGCATCCTGCTGGCACGAGTTTTGCCTCCAGGGCCCCACTCCTCCAGAGGCACCAGCTTTTTCTCTTTCCTTTTCTAGTCGCCTGCCCCACCTGCCAAGTGTGTGCCAGTCCCCGAGGGTCCTTGAGAACAAAAGCCTTTGGTTCCTAGGGAGGTAAGAAGTGTGAAGACTCCCTCCTGTCTCCCCATTGAAGGTCTCTGTGGCCCATGGTCCTTCCTCTGCACAGCTTTCATGTAGAGAAGGCCCAAGAGCTGGCTGGCTCATTACTTTTCTCCCTCCTTTTCCTCCTTTCCTTTACAAAAGGGCTTCCATTTTACAGAGATGACTGGTTCATTTTGCCCAGAAGTCCTTTCTTGCATCTAATTTAAGTCCTAGCAGATGCAAGACTTGTTAGTGAAATGGTTACCGAGGGAGGTGGAAGAATGTGAGAATGTGTAGAATTTTTCCAGTAGCTCTGCAAGGCAGGGTGTGCCTTTTAGAATACCTTTGGTTTAGAAAACAAACCTGTTTTGTCCCCACTAAACAGTCCTGTTTACTTCCTTATTGCTGTCCTTCCTCCTTTCCTACCCTCCCCCTTACTGCGCCCCCCCCCCCCCAAGAGTTTTGGCAGGAGAATCAAGAAACTAAACTCCCAGGTCCCCAACCTGTCCTCCGTGGTGGACCTCCCCTTTTGGTAGCCTGGCTGCAGTTTTGTGCTGGGACAGCTGGCTGGTGTCTGAGGGTTCCCTATGCTCAGCCAGAATTGAATTGGAGTTTCCTTGGGCCCTGCACACACCACACAGTGATTAAAAGTCAGTGGGTCAGAGCACTGCCTTGGAAACCGCTGGGCTCCACTCCTGCCTGGACCTCTTACCAGCTGTGGGGCACTTAGGCCAGCTCCGTAGGAGCTTTGTGCCTCAGTCTCCTCATCTGTAAAGTGGAAACACTCATGTCCACCGTACATGGTTGGTGAGAGGATTAGATGCGCTAATGCCTGCAGAGTAAGTGCTAAGCACAGTGCCCAGTTCAGCACTAGGTGACTTTTGGCTGCTACTGGCTGCTGTTATGGGCACTTGGAATAGAGCCTTGCACCTTCCTCCCCTGCTGTCCCCTGCCCTCCCCTGCTCTCCCTCCCCTCCCCAGCACATCTCAAGACAGGAATGTCAGCAGTTTTCCCAAAGTCACTTTAGGAGTGGCCCTGGAGATTTTGTTCCCAGCTGGGCTTTATTTAGAACCAAGATACAATCTCCTGAAACTATGATTAAGTGAAAAGTGCCTTCAGTTCAGCTCTGAGTCAGGGACAGGGATTCTGACCAGCTGCACTCACTGACCATGTGCTCTTGGCTGCTGGGTCTTGGTGTCCTCTGCTAAGAGAGCGTTTGCACTGTCATCAGAGGCTCGAGGAGGCCCTTCCAGCTCTGAGGTGCCGTGGCTTTTCCAGGCAGGGAGCCGTCCTCACCCCCCACCCCCAACACTGGCGTGGGTTTTTACAGGGACCTGAAGGAAAGGAGTGAAGCTAAGAAGCAAAGTCAGGGGAAATCTTTCAGTTTAATTGTGAAGCACTGAGCCTCTCCAAATGTGTATTGTGTGAACTGACTTCCAATGAGCATTGTTCCTGATTGAGGGTCCACCTTGGCCCACAGATTCCACCATTACAGTGTAGTCCTAGTGATTGTGTAAGAATTCTTGCAGAAGGTTCTAGCAAACTGAATGGCTTTTCAGAATACTCTCCGTACTTCCCATGTTGGCTTCATGCCGAGAGAGATGGTGGCATTGGAAAACTGGAACCGGAACATGAGATCAAATCCTGTCTATTCTGTGCACAGAAAAATTACTCAGTCTCTCCAGTGGTTCTCAACCTGTGGGTCGCGACCCCTTTGGGGATTGAACGACCCTTTCACAGGGGTCGCCTAAGACCATCGGAAAACACATATATAATTACATATTGTTTTTGTGATTAATCACTATGCTTTAATTATGTTCAATTTGTAACAATGAAAATACATCCTGCATATCAGATATTTATGATTCATAACAGTAGCAAAATTACAGTTATGAAGTAGCAACGAAAATAATTTTATGGTTGGGGGTCACCACAACATGAGGAACTGTATTAAAGGGTCGCGGCATTAGGAAGGTTGAGAACCACTGCTTTAGACTCTGTCTCCTCTACAAGACTGCAGTGATGCTGATGCTCACGTCCAGATCTCATGGGAAGACTGCTGTGAGCATCAGCGGAGTCGTTTCTACTGGAGGAGCAAACACTTCCGTTTCAGTAAACCTAACTTATCTGGGAGTATGGGCAAAGGAAACGGCAACTCACTGTCTGGGCCCTCTGGCCAGTCAGTGGACTGCACTTCATGCATAAGGAACGGCTGTAGCTTCTTAATAGATCCAACCAGCACTCTCCTTTTCCCGAGGCTCCTCAGGGTTCCCATAAAGGGAGCCCCTTGTCTGAATTGTCATTGGTCTGAAGAGGGGCCAGCAGCTGCTTGCAGGCAAAGACTTGTCACCTCTGGTCACTCCCTGGGTACCGCACACAGCTGCCGCCCCCCAGCAGTGTGAACGAGGATGCTGGGTGGGCAGTGAGAGCTTGGATATTTTATGGACCTTGTTTTCCAGTTACACATAACAATCCACTAAGCCTCGGAGGAGGAAGCTAAATTGCTGGCCTGGCAAAGGGTTGCACAGAAAAACCTAAAGTAAGAGGGTGTATAAAAAACCCTCCTTGCTCAGTTTGGGTGCTTGGGAGCTTGGCGTATTCTTCTTGATGCGCTGCTACCATCTGGCTTGGATTTTCTTCAGGCAAAAATAACTCCATGCTGATTTGAACCATTGGCGTATCTTTGATGCCGTTGTAGAACCATTCCAGCTACTTCTAAATAAATGGCGCATGAAAATGTGTGTTCATGCTCAGCGTAGGGCAGCCAGTTCCAGAACTGTAAGCAGAACCTGCAAACTCTCCCCCAAAGGAGGCCTTATCCACAGAAAACCCCTCTTTCCCAAGCTGGCCAGGGCGGCTGAACTTTGGGGTAAAGAGCAGATGGGTTGGGGTCTGAGCGGCAGGGCAAGCGAGGGTTTTCTTGGCATGTTTGCTCTTCAGGTCTAGATTTTCAGTTTGTGAGAAGGTGCCATTCTCACTCTGGTCCCTGGACGTGGAGGAAATCCTGCCCCAAGAAGCTGAGACATTTCAGCTCTTACTGTCTGATCAGCGAGCATCAGGGGAGTTGGTGAAAGGACTGCTGGGGTCCTCTTAGGGCTCCTCTGCCATTTTCTTGCTGTTTAGTTCTTTGAACATCTTTTCCTCTTTGTTTCCACCTGCCAGGCAAATTGTAAAATATCCCTACACCTTCGTTTGAGCTAGAACTGGCCTCAAGGTGGCGCCTCAGCACAGAGAATGGCAGTGGCCGGCGTCACCGGGCCACCATGTCTTGGGGATCTCATTATATAAGGGAATTCACGGGATTCGGGCTTCTCATCAGGGGGAAGACTGGCCTTTGTCACTTCAGTGGGACAATGGGAAGAGGTCAGGGGTCGGTGCGGGGCTGCACAAGCACTTAGTTCCAAGCAACTTAACACGGGCTCAGGCTCCTGCCACCACCGAGCCCAGAGCAGCGTGGCCAGGGCAGAGAGGTGTGGGCCTGGCTTGCTGGGAGGGTGAGCCCAGAGCTTCCGGCTTTGTCCTGCCCAGGAGGCCTCGCCCAGGCTCACGGCCGGACTGGGCACTCAGCTTGGCCCTCTGCCTGCACAGGTCTCCAGACCTGGAGGACAGCTCCTGGCTGTAAATCCCTCCCCTCCTCCCTACACACCCCATTCTCACCCTCC